TTTCTGATGAAGGGTCAAGGCCCGAAACGTCAGCCTTTCTGCTCCTACGATGCTGCTTGGCCTGCTGTGTTCATCCAGCTCTGCACCTTGTTGTCTCGGATTCTCCAGCATCTGCAGTTCCTACTATCTCAAGCTTTTGATCACCTGCCCTAATGAGATAGCAAGAGTCACAATTTTGCTTCACAACACTGCAGTGAAGAACCTGCCAATGTTTCATGAAGCTAAGTGTGTTCTACAAGTGCAAGCTGTTCTGCATAAACTCTTATTTTTGTTTTTAACCAAGATATCTTTTCCCTTCCATATCTTGCTTAATCTTACACAAGCAACAGATACATGTCCAATCATTCTTCATAAGGCCTGTTCTTTTACACTGACACATTAAAAGGAGTATATATATTTGCTTAACTAATCATGATATACAAACAAATCTCAAATATTCAACTGTATCTCCAAGAACATTAATATGTGCATTATCCTGATGCCTTCCAAATGGCATGACCTTTAATTTTCTACTTTTATTGTAGTAGAAAGTCTCTCCAAAAACTGTTTTAGATATTACTACAAACTAGTGTCATCAGCAAATGAGAGAGTTTTTGAAATAAGGGTGTGCCTTTCAGTGCAAGATACATTACTGGTTCCAATGGAAAGGAAGTCTCGCAGCAGTATGCATCTTTGGTCAAATGTTATAACAAATGCTGGAGAAACTCAGCAGGTCTGGTGGCATCTATGGAGACAAAGAGAGTTAGCGTTTCAAGGCAGCCTGGTTCTGAACAGTCATACCGAACTTAATACATTCTATGGAGACAGAAACGGTTAATGTATTAAGTTCGGTATGACTGTTCAGAACCAGTCTGCCTTGAAACGTTAAACTCTCTTTCTGTCTCCATAGGTGCTGCCAGACCAGCCGAGTTTCTCCAGCATTATATTTGTTTTGGATTTCTAGCATCCCCTGTTTTTTTTAAACTTTATCCTTGTCAAACCCTAACTTACTCTATTTCTTGATTTGGTTTGGCAACATTTCTTAGATGCTTTCTCTACCAGTCTGACAAAGTCAGGAATACCATTTTGATTGGATTACTCAGGTGATTAACTAGATTCTTCTTACCTGGTTAGAATATTAAAAACATAGACTGAGGCATACAAAGGAAGGTTACTGGTCTAGGTCTTTGGTTGAACTTTATATAAAAAAAAAGAAAAAAAAAAAAATAGGGACACCATAATCATTGGCTGGACTAAAACACACTAAACCAGTAACGTCCTAATTACTACTCCAAGTTGGAGGAAGTGTGAGAATGTTTACCAATATCCAAACAAAAATCCTGTTGTTAAACAGATTAACAATAGTTATTAGACATTGGAAATTACGCAGAGAGAGAGGCAACCATGAGACTATACCCTCATACAAGTGAGCACATCAAGTACAGTAAATTGGAGATGAGGCAAATGATTCAGTGTGGATACCTCATTTGGTAACTAAGACTGATGCTGGACACAAAATAACATTTTGAATGAATTAATTTAGATATGAGTAAATGCTAAAAATTAAGACTTGCCACTTTTCAACACTAAGGGCAACACCTGTTTAAGCACAGCTGCATTTATCACACAAAGTTAAAAAATAAACCTGTTTATTAAAGTGTCCACTGCAACTGAACTTTCCCACGTTCAAGGAAACATTTTTATTCTTATGTACCGAAAGAAACAGTACATTTCAATGGTGAGAAAAATCACAATTACTGGAAGACTTACAGTTAGAAAAGCAGCATGCAAAAACACTGGATTTGATCTTCAAGCTTCAACACTGCTTATTTTTGTCCAAGGTTTGGGTGGGGAGGGGTGGTCGTCAGTCAGTGCAATTGCAAAATCATCACATTACAATTCAGAAGATGCTCTGACTTGAGAAAGAGATCATCTTTGAACCAGATGTTTCCCATTCAATATTTCATGATGTCTATATGGCAGGTATTTAAAAAAAAAAGAAACTTATACCTTATTGATAGATTTTTTGCTTTATTAAAAAAAAAAAGTGTAGCTGGAATGACAATTTTTGTTGAGGCCCATACATATATTGTACAACAACTATCTTCATTTCCAGAATGTTTGCAAATGAAATTTACAGCACACAAATAAGTCATTGGGGCTAACTAGTCTGTATATATGTTCTACTCTTACTTTATCAACATAACCTGCTGCTCTTTTCTCCCTTGAGTTTATTAAGCTTCCCCTTAAATGAATCTATGCTGGTTATCACTTCAGGTACTGTACAGAGAAGTAAACTGCATTTCTACACAATCTTTAGTCAGATTCATGTGTCCAATACACTTTAAAAGTTACAAAGTGCAAAACACGTTTTCTTAAGAAAAAAAAGACAAAGCTTTTCTAAAAAAAAAACCGGAAAAAAAAAGTCAATTGTTAGAGAAACAAGCTGACTTTTCCCCAAAACCATATTTCTTTTCTAAAAAAAAAATGCACACTTAAATCAGCATTGCTTAGATCTAAGGTTTTCAGAGAGACTGTGTAGATATGCCTCCTTTTATTATGGAGTCAGAAAGAGAACACATCTCCATACAATAATAAATTGCTACTAAGGATAGGAACAAAGTTTTTTTTAGAAACGATAGTTATTCGATGGAATATCAAGGGTGCCCCCTTGTGGGAAACAATGACTTCTTGAAATATGATTGAATTTTAACTGTCATAACAAGTATTCAACTTGGCAAAATGAGTAAGCATAGGTTTGTGCTCATCACAAGTCACATGGAAAATGGTGATTTCAGATGTTCCACCAGAAATAAGCTCAAATGATGGGAGGCTGTTATCTACTAATTAAAAAGACCTGCACAAATGCCATAAGTTAATGGTACATTAATGTACATTCTACTGGTGAATTCAAGAAAGGCATGGATCAGCCAGGATGAAGTTTGCTTCTGCCTGGGCAGGCATATTGCATTATACATGAGCCTAAAAGTGATTGAAGTAAAAATAAAACTCCTTCAGTTGTTATACACCAATCACTAATATCCTGCACATCACTGAGGTTGCAACAAGTCTGCCATTAGGATGTTGGCCTGCCAATTTTGTCACTAGTCCAAAACTTGACAGTCTTGATTTGTATATTAATACTTGATTTTAATTAAGCAAACAGAAAAGTTCTGAACCACCACAGTAACAAGCAAGCAAATCACCACATTGCAGAAATTTCCAATACAAAAAAGTGATTTTCCATTGTCAACTCAAGTACCACATCGCTCAAAAAAAAAGTACAATCCTACTCAGGTGTTTGATTTTAAATGAGTTCTCAATGTGTTGAAAGTATGCAACACATTGGCATAGGTAGAAGCTGAAAGACATCTGGGAGTGGAAATTGACTGGACATTAACAGATCCAGTCACTTGTGGAGGATTAATCAATAAGCTAATATTATTATGACATTTATTTCCTTATTACATGCATAGTTACACAGCCAAGTAATAGCCTTTACAGAGGCTAAGTGGGGGCTCTTCAAGCCTGTCTTAAAGTTTAGTCAATAGACACTCCTCAACAATGAGTGTCATTCTTTAGACTGCACCACAGCTGCAGCCTGGATAGTCTTGTCAACCGCACTAATATTAGGTGGGGTCAATTATGTTCCTAATTCATTAGGCTATAGAATATGATGAAACACTAAACAATGCAGTTTAATTAGAACATACAAGTAGCACCTTCAAATTTTGTAAGCATAAGGTATGTAGAAAATATTCTAGCATAAAAGCAATATACAGAAGAACCAGGAGACTGTTCCCTCTAGTTAAAAGCTTCAGCTAAGAAGAAAATCTCAAGAAGGCTTTATTGAAAAAAGTCACATAGGGATAAGTAGTTAACGTATTATCAGTAGGGGAAATAGGTTCAAGCTAGTAGTGTTAAGAGTTAGGATTGATGGCCAGAAGCTCATTATAGATAATGATTCAGAATGGCCCTTCTGGGTAGGGCAGTATAGTAAAAGCCTTTTAAAAAAAAAACACAATTGGCTGATGGCATGGGACGGGGTGGATGTTCCTTTTCAAATACATTCTCATTCATATGGTTAGTGATAATTTACCATGGTCATGTGACAAGTAACTTCTTTTCAGTCAGTTTCACAATCAAATTGCAGAAGTGGAACAATTGCACAACAACACACTCACGACGTTAAATGATACCTTCAGATTTCATGTTCCTTCTCTAATTAAAGCTCCGTATAACTAATTTAAACTAAAGAATGGATTGGAGAGAGGCTTGTTTGTTTACAATCAAAGATTTTTTTTATGTTATATAACCAGCATATATTTTTCAAGCCAACGCTGTAAAATTTCATGTAAAGTTTTCAATCTAGTTTGCGTGAAGGGAAGACGTGATGTAGCAGACGTCATTTCAGGCACTTCCTGCAATTCAACAAGCAACATTAACCACCACACCTCATCCTGAACAAATGCTAGGTCACACTAAAAAAAACATAAGAAGCGCAACGTACCAACGACTGTGGTGTTTCTGTGCAGACTTGAAGCACTAGTCCTGCCAGGAATATGATAAATGGCACAGTCATGGCCAGTAGGAAGAAGTTTCTGTGAAAGTAAAAACAAAGCCAAATAAATTTGCCGGAAAATAACATACAAAATGCAACTTCAATACCAGTACCAAGAGCTCAGCAGTTAGTAAAGCATCGAGATCAAGCTAAAGAAAGCACTTTTTCAAAGTCACAGCAATTGGTAAACACATACAAGGTAGACTTATTTACTGCATCTAGAAATTTCTTTGAATAAAATAAAATCTTACTCCAGTGAAAGAATTAAGTTCAGGCATTCGGATTTTCACCCTGTCACAGCAGCTGAAAGCAGATTCCTCCTCATAATGGCAGCCTTGTTGGTTGCTAGGATACAAAGGCCTTATCTGAATACAAGCACAGCCTTCTGGTTTTATTCCACACCCACCTAAAATCAATTTTAGCAATTACAGCCTGAGTAAAAGCTTTCATTGAAAGTCAGCCTTGCGAGTAGCATTAAGATAACTTTATTTTAAAAGGAGAAAAAAAAATGCAATCTTCATTTCTGTTTTTTTTGGTCAATTAGGAAATAAACAATTTAATAGACAGGCTGCAGCTGGTACCTGGCAGAGACATGTCTAAACCTGACAGCAGAATATGTTTATTTTTCTTTCAAATCTCCAGAAAATAAAGAACTACTGAAGTGAAACAAAACTATATATTAGCGAATATCCACAACTGTCTGATGCTCTGGAGTATCAATACAATCTGACACATAATTTCTGATAGATATTTATAACTCCAAGGAAGATTATGTGGAAGCAAATCACTGCAGATGAGTCTCGATGACTCTTCATCAGAGCTGGAGTGAAGTGTGGAGGGGTCAGCATCTATGTAATAGTGGGGAGTGGGTGTGTGGTTGGAGTGCAGCGGGAGAAAGGACATTGATTGTTCTGATTAAGTGATCATCATTTAATCGGAACCATCAACGTCCTTTCTCCCATAACACTCCAACCCCATGGCCCCCCACACTATTGCATAAATGCTGCCCTCTCACCATTTCACTTCAGCTCTGATGAAAGTTATGTGGGAGATAGATTCAAATAGCCATCCTTGTGGATTCCCAATTTGATTCAGTTTGAGTTAAATGGGATGTTGATAAATTATATTTAGACCTGTGGTTATAAGAAGTACAAAGAGATGACAGCGTCCATGCTTGCATACCTTTTGGAATTAGTTACAAATTACATTGGAAGGTATCACCCACCTACGCCTCTGTTACACTTGGTAAGTGGCCTGAGGGCTAGGAGAAGGAACAGGCAATTTACTATTTGAAACAGAAAAATAACAATTTAAGTTTAAACTAATTCAACAGGGGGATGGGAACCTGAATTGTAGCTTCAGTGTACAGGAGGTTGAGAGTAGTGAGGTCATAAATAAGGTTTCAAGGTCGCAGGAGTGTACCGGCAGGCAGGAAGGTGGTTTGAAGTGTGTCGACTTCAATGCCAGGAGCATCCGGAATAAGGTGGGTGAACTTGCAGCATAGGTTGGTACCTGGGACTTCGATGTTGTGGCCATTTCGGAGACATGGATAGAGCAGGGACAGGAATGGTTGTTGCAGGTTCCGGGGTTTAGATGTTTCAGTAAGATCAGGGAAGGTGGTAAAAGAGGGGGAGGTATGGCATTGTTAGTCAAGGACAGTATTACGGTGGCAGAAAGGACATTTGATGACAACTCGTCTACTGAGGTAGTATGAGCTGAGGTTAGAACCAGGAAAGGAGAGGTCACCTTGTTGGGAGTTTTCTATAGGCCTCCGAAAAGTTCCAGAGATGTAGAGGAAAAGATTGCAAAGATGATTCTGGATAGGAGCGAAAGTAACAGGGTAGTTGTTATGGGGGACTTTAACTTTCCAAATATTGACTGGAAACGCTATAGTTCGAGTACTTCAGATGGGTCAGTTTTTGTCCAATGTGTGCAGGAGGGTTTCCTGACACAGTATGTAGATAGGCCAACAAGAGGCGAGGCCACATTGGATTTGGTACTGGGTAATGAACCAGGCCAGGTGTTAGATTTGGAGGTAGGTGAGCACTTTGGTGATAGTGACCACAATTCGGTTACGTTTACTTTAGCGATGGAAAGGGATCGGTATATACCGCAGGGCAAGAGTTATAGCTGGGGGAAAGGCAATTATGAGGAAATGAGGCAAGATTTAGGATGCATAGGATGGAGAAGGAAACTGCAGGGGCTGGGCACAATTGAAATGTGGAGCTTGTTCAAGGAACAGCTACTGCGTGTCCTTGAGAAGTATGTACCTGTCAGGCAGGGAGGAAGTGGTCGAGCGAGGGAACCGTGGTTTACTAAAGAAGTTGAATCTCTTGTCAAGAGGAAGAAGGAGGCTTATGTAGAGATGAGGCGTGAAGGCTCAGTTAGGGCGCTTGAGAGTTACAAGTTAGCCAGGAAGGACCTAAAGAGAGAGCTAAGAAGAGCCAGGAGGGGACATGAGAAGTCTTTAGCAGGTAGGATCAAGGAAAACCCTAAAGCTTTCTATAGGTATGTCAGGAATAAAAGAATGACTAGAGTAAGATTGGGGCCGGTCAAGGACAGTAGTGGGAAGTTGTGCGTGGAGTCCGAAGAGATAGGAGAGGTGCTAAATGAATATTTTTCGTCAGTATTCACACAGGAAAAAGACAATGTAGTCGAGGAGAATACTGAGATACAGTCTATTAGACTAGACGGGATTGAGGTTCATAAGGAGGAGGTGTTAGCAATTCTGGAAGGTGTGAAAATAAATAAGTTCCCTGGGCCAGATGGGATTTATCCTAGGATTCTCTGGGAAGCTAGAGAGGAGATTGCAGAGCCTTTGGCTTTGATCTTTATGTCGTCATTGTCTTCAGGAATAGTGCCAGAAGACTGGAGACTAGCAAATGTTGTCCCCTTGTTCAAGAAGGGGAGTAGAGACAACCCTGGTAATTATAGACCAGTGAGCCTTACTTCGGTTGTGGGTAAAGTGTTGGAAAGGATTATAAGAGATAGGATTTATAATCATCAAGAAAGGAATAATTTGATTAGGGATAGTCAACATGGTTTTGTGAAGGGTAGGTCGTGCCTCACAAACCTTATTGAGTTCTTTGAGAAGGTGACCAAAAGGTGGATAAGGGTAAAGCGGTTGATGTGGTGTATATGGATTTCAGTAAAGCGTTTGATAAGGTTCCCCTTGGTAGGCTATTGCAGAAAATACGGAGGCATGGGATTGAGGGTGATTTAGCGGTTTGGATCAGAAATTGGCTAGCTGTAAGAAGACAGAGGGTGGTGGTTGATGGGAAATGTTCATCCTGGAGTTCAGTTACTAGTGGTGTACCTCAAGGATCTGTTTTGGGGCCACTGCTGTTTGTCATTTTTATAAATGACCTGGATGAGGGCGTAGAAGGATGGGTTAGTAAATTTGCGGATGACACCAAAGTTGGTGGAGTTGTGGATAGTGCGGAAGGATGTTGCAGGTTACAGAGGGACATAGATAAGCTGCAGAGCTGGGCTGAGAGGTGGCAAATGGAGTTTAATGCGGAAAAGTGTGAGGTGATTCACTTTGGAAGGAGTAACAGGAATACAGAGTACTGGGCTAATGGTAAGATTCTTGGTAGTGTGGATGAGCAGAAAGATCTCGGTGTCCATGTGCATAGATCATTGAAAGTTGCCACCCAGGTTGATAGCGTTGTTAAGAAGGCGTACAGTATGTTAGGTTTTATTGGTAGAGGGATTGAGTTTCGGAGCCATGAGGTCATGTTGCAGCTGTACAAAACTCTGGTGCGGCCGCACTTGGAGTATTGCGTACAGTTCTGGTCACCGCATTATAGGAAGGATGTGGAAGCATTGGAAAGGGTGCAGAGGAGATTTACCAGGATGTTGCCTGGTATGGAGGGAAGGTCTTATGAAGAAAGGCTGAGGGTCTTGAGGCTGTTTTCGTTAGAGAGAAGAAGGTTAAGAGGTGACTTGATAGAGACATACAAGATGATCAGAGGATTAGATAGGGTGGACAGTGGGAGCCTTTTTCCTCGGATGGTGATGGTTAGCACGAGGGGACATAGCTTTAAATTGAGGGGTGATAGATATAGGACAGATGTCAGAGGTAGGTTCTTTACTCAGAGAGTAGTAAGGGCGTGGAATGCCCTGCCTGCAAAAATAGTAGACTCGCCCACTTTAAGTGCATTTAAATGGTCATTGGATAAACATATGGATGATAATGGAATAGTTTAGGTCAGATGGGCTTCAGATTGGTTTCACAGGTCGGCGCAACATCGAGGGCCGAAGGGCCTGTACTGCGCTGTAATGTTCTATGTTCTATGTTAATGCGTGTGGAGTCTTCTTGTAAAATGACAACGAGTCAACGACCATCCTAGTTCAAGCCTTTCTATCTTCCACTGCTACAAAGTTAAACTAAGGTGACCATATTTTCTCGGTTAACTGAATCCAGGAACACACAGTGTGATACATATCCATACAATTCAAAGCTGTTCTGATCTGGCTCCAGCTAATCAGTTCAGTTATCAGTGGCACCTTTTACCTGGGAATTTTGATTCTGGGGCCATTTTCTCTTGAGCTTAAATTTTATAGGAGAGCTGTGTGTGATCCACTAAAGCTCTAGGGATTTATGGTGGCAGGAGGGCATTTGCATCATGGCTAAAGGGTGTGTTATAAAGTCATAGGGTCATACAGCATGGAAACAGAACCTTTGTTCCAATTTGTCTGTGCCGACCGAGTTTCTCAAACTAAACTATTTCCACTAGCCTGCATTTGGTCCATACCCCTGTAACCCTTTCCTATTCATGTACCTATCCAAATGTCTCTTAAATGTTGTAACTGTGCCTGCATCCACCACTTTCTCTGGCAGTTCATTCCACATACAAACCACCCACTGTGTGAAAGCACTGCCCCTTGGGTTCCTTTAAATCTTTCTCCTCTCACTTTAAAAATATGCCCCCTAGTTTTGAATTTCCCCATGCTAGGGAATAGACCTTTGCTATTCACCTTACCTATGCCCTTCATGATTTTATGAACCTCTAAAAGATCACCCCTCAATCTCCTTGCTGCAGTGAAACAAGTCCCAGTCTATCCAGCCTCTCCTTACAGCTCAAACCCTCCAGTCCCAGCAAAATCCTGGTAAATCTTTTCTGAACCCTCTTCAATTTAATAATATCCTTCCTATTGCAGGGCGACCAAACTGTACACTGTACGCCAAAAGTACTCACCAACGTCCTGTACAACCTCAACATGACATCCCAACTCCTATACTCAATGGTCAGAGTAATGAAGGCAAGCGTACAAAATGCCTTCTTAACCACTCTGTCTACCTGAGATGCAACTTTCAAAGAACTATTTACCTGAACCGCTAGGTCTCAGTTTGACAACACCACCCAGGGTGCTACCA